GAGAGAGAGAGAGAGAGAGAGAATGTTTTCGCCCTGTTTTCGCCGCCGCCGCCGCCGCCCAAAAAATTGACGACGCGCGAGCCCGCCAGCCAGCCAGCCGACCCAAAAGGCCCAAAGAAAAAGGATTTGTGGCCAACGGAGCGCGACGACAACGACGATTGAGTGCATCTCGTCGGTCTTGGCTTGGCGGCTGTCTAGGCCCCGCCTGCCCGCCTGCCTGCATTGGGGCGAAATTGAGCTGCCTCGACCCGCCGCCGCTTCCCAAAAGGCTCAGCTCAGTGGCTCAGCTCAGTCAATCGGCCTCCCGCTCCGCTTCAAAGCTCGGCTCTCTGCCTGCACTTTCTGCGACCCTGGCTGCTGCCCTCGCCTCGACTCGCCTCGACTCGCCTCGACTCGGCCATCTCGTCGTTTTTCGTCGTCGTCGCCATCCTCGACATCACTCTCTTCCTCCATCAAGTCCCGTCGTGGTTTTCCTCTTCCGTTCCCCCTTCCCCTTGAATCCTTCCGGCCATTCTCCTTTCTTCGTCTTCGACCTCAACCCCATCATCGCCATCACCCTACCACCCTCATCCTCGCCTTTGGCCCTTTTTTTCTCTCTTCGCTTCTTCGGCTCCCAGTATCGGTCCTCCTCGTTCGTCTGCGACTTTCGAACTCTTCCCCTCAATTTCCGACGTCACAGCCGTCATCCACACCTATCAGACCCGCTCAATCAGCCCTTTCGAACAACTCTTTTCAACGTCACGGCATCACCTTTTTCGCCTCGACAGCAAGTGACGGTATCCAAGAGAAAATTCCACAAAACAGCCATCGCTCCTCCTCACTCCGTCACTCGACATCATCACTGCCCTTGCGCCTTCATTGCGCCCACGTCAGGTCACCCCTTCGTACCAGCAAACTTTCGCCGCACTTGATAAAGCAGCTCTTCAATTTTGCTGCAACATCGCCTTGTGATTCGTTCGCCTGGCTTGAAACTCGCTTTCACCACTCCATCCGCAAGCACTTGTAGCACCGGCTCGTCCTCGGTGCATCGCCAAACTCACTCCGCCCACCTCCTTCACAAGCCCACTCCCAGCCCACTTCGGTGCCACTACCCAACAAGCCACATCACTCTCGATCTTCCTCGCCCAACCCATCCGTGTGCCGATCTCGCTCCGTTGTCAACGCATCCGAGCGCCAACACTGCCACGAGTCCGCACATCCATTCACAGCCCTCGAGCCTGTACTCTTGACCAGCACCCACGACCACCATCACCCCCACGGTCGAATCCACCCTTCTTTCGACCTCCCTCTTAGTCCTCAATCCTCTTCCCGGCCACCTCAGCCTTCCACAGCGTTGATCGCAGCCGCCTTTCCACCAACCCTGCTCTCGCCTTTGGTCCATTTCTCTCTGTCCTGTTCGTCGATTCTCCCGAACTGTATACCTGCCCACCAGCAACTCTCAAGATTCCCATAGCTTCCACTCGACTCGCCACTCCTTTCGCACCGAGCCTCCATCAACGCTCTGCAAGCCTTGTATCACCACTAGTCTTCCTCGTCTGGCAACGAGCCTCTGTAAACCCACACTCCCTCACTCTCGCAAGCTGAACATCGGATCTCGGCCTTTCTCCATCATCAAGATGAACACTTCCAACCACCAGCAGTACTACGGCGGCAACGCCTACGCCAACCGCACCGACTCGTACGCCCCCCTGCGCCCCGAAGGCCTCGGCCTCGGCTCCATCTTCCCTGGTCAGGACAGTGCACACGACTCTCGCCTTCGCCAGCAGCAGCCGCAGCAATACCCCTCGCACCACCAGCACCACCAGCAGAACAATGCCTACCGCTCTGCCGACCCGCTGCGTGACATCTCGGCGCTCCAGGCCAGCCTCGAGGACCAGCTCGCCGCCATGCGTCTTCAGTCCAGCCACAACTCGGACGCCCAGCTCGGCTACCAGAGCTACGCTGCGAACCAGGGCGGATACGCCCATCAGCATCAGTACGCGCAGCAGCAGCAGTATCTCCAGATGCAGCTCCAGCAGCAGTTTGCCCAGCAGCAGGCAGCCGTGCAGCAGCAAAAGATCGAGCTGCTCCGTCTGCAGGCGCTGCAGAAGCAACAGCAGCAGCAGCAGCAGCTCCAGTACGGCCACCAGCAGCTCTACAGCAACGGCGACAACAGCAACAATAACAACAACAGCCACCAGCAGCAGCTGGCTGCCCAGCAGCGCCTGCTTCTCTCGCAGCTTCAAGGCGGACACGGCGAGCTCGACATGGGCTCGCTCTACAACACCACCGCCGCTTCTGCTCAGGAGCAGAGGCAAGCGGCACAGGCGAGCCTCCAAGCCAGCCTGCGTCAGCGACAGGTGCAGCAGCTCTACCAGACCATGGGGCTGGAAAACGGCGCACACGCAACGGCTCCCAGCTACAACGATTCGATCCAGCAACAGCAGCAGCAACAGCAGCTGCAAAACATTCTCAACCGCCACACGCGCCCGGTGAGCAACGAAGGCGCTGCACCCTCGCGCGTGCCCCTCGACCAGAGGAGCTGGCGAGGAGGTGCGATGGCAGGCGAAGAGAGGATGCCCACGCCGCCTTCGCACCGAGGCAGCTCGCCGGCGTCTTCGGTCAGCGACTCGCGCCGTCCGATGCGCCCGTCGTCCGGCACGGCCGAGAGCATCATGTCGATGCGCTCGCGCACCATGACGCCTTCGATCGTGATCGACGACAGCGCCTCGGAGGGCTCGCGCGCCCACTCGGAGTTCGACCAGGTGGAGGGCGACCAGACGCCCGAGACGAGCGAGGAGGACCTCGAGGTGCACACGACGCCGATGAGCAAGGCGGTGCTGGCCACCACACCGCGTCCGCACCAGATGCAGACGCAGATGCAGCTGCACAAGCAGGCCAACGGCGGTCGCTACGGATCGCTGGGCCGGGCGGGTGCCAATGCGGGTGCCAATGCGGGTNCCAGATGCAGACGCAGATGCAGCTGCACAAGCAGGCCAACGGCGGTCGCTACGGATCGCTGGGCCGGGCGGGTGCCAATGCGGGTGCCAATGCGGGTGCCAATGCGGGTGCCGGTGCCGGTGCCGGTGCGAGTGCAAGTGCGCCTACGTCGACCAGCGCGACGCCGCCGATGAGCGCGCCCAAGGCGATCCCGCGTGCGATCCACCTTTCTGCGGCGCCGCAGCACCGCGCGTTCAAGGCGAACGGCTCGTCGGACGGCGTGCAGACGATCAACAACGCCGGGCTTACGCTGCCTCCGATCCAGCCGCGGCGCCAGCCCAAGGGCCAGCCGAGCGACTTTGCCAAGGTCAACTTCCAGGCGCGCATGAACAGCCGGCTGCGCAAGGACGCCATGTCGAAGCTGTGCGCCAGTCCGCGCGCCGCGAGCTTTGGCGGCAACGGCATGAGCTTTGGCGCGCGCCTCTCGAGTGCTGGCAGCAACGTGGGCGGCGTCAGTGTGATGGCTGCGCAGCCTTGATCGATCCTACCCTTCCTGATTCTCACCCCCCTGTTCGTTTCCGATGACGGGGGGGATTTTGTGTCTCGTGTCACCCGCTTTCAAAGTGCATTTCGATGTCTGCATTCCGAGGCTGTGATTGAGTGTTTGCAGACCGAGCGTGTGTATGCGGTGAGAGGGAGTCGCTGTGTGATGTACGCTCGAGTGGGCCGAGGGCATGCAGTCGCGGCAAGGGCTGCGGGTGATGATGGGGTTGCAGGTGTGGGCTTCTCGCACGCGCCGACGATTTGTGGGCGGCGGGTTTACGTGATGCCCCGATAGCGCTCCGGACGCGCGACGCACCAGCGGCAGCGAGAAGAAACAGGAAAACAAAAAGAAAGGGAAAAAGAAAAATGTACAATTTCTCCTGCCTTTCAATAAAATAATATCGCCCGCCTGTTGGCCGACTTGGGTGACTCTGATTTCGACGTGACTCCACATTTTTGGGGCATTTTCGCTGCCTTATCAAAGGCGCGCTTGCGAGCGTGCCTTGCTTCTTCTTGCCGCACAACGACCATCTCGATATCGGCCTGCGCTTGCTTTGGTATTCAACATGGCCGCCACACGAGCCGCTCTCTCCAGCGCAGCTAAGCGACCGTCTGCGTCGCTCATGCTCGCTGCCACATCCGCGCGTTGCGTGCGCCCGCAGCTGCGTCTGCTCGCCACCCACGCCGCGCCCGCCACGGCGGCATCCTCCAAGAAGCCCTGCGCGGACTACGTCTCGCTCTCGCATCCCGATGGCGACGCCTCGCGCGGCTCCAAGATCGCCGACACGCTCGACCGATTCTCCCACTCGGTGCTTGCGACCTACTCGCGCCCGCAGCTCATCTTTACGCGCGGCAACGGCCTCGACCTCTACGCCGCCGCGGACCCCAACACCAACCAGGGCCACAACGAGCGCAAGTACCTCGACTTTTCCTCGGGCATCGCCGTCAACTCGCTCGGCCACGCCGACCCCAAGATCGCCGAGATCGCGGCGGAGCAGAGCGCCAAGCTCGTGCATGCCTCCAACCTCTACCACAACGAGTGGTCCGGTGAGCTCGCCGATCGCATGGTCAACCTCACCCACCAGCACGGCGGTCTTGGCTTTGCAAAGGGCTCCAAGCCGACATCGCCGGACACCGCCGGCCTCAAGGTCTTCCTCGCCAACTCCGGGACCGAGGCGAACGAGGCGGCGCTCAAGTTCGCACGCAAGGCGGCCAAGTCGCACCCGACCAAGGGCGGTGCGCACAAGACGGGCCTGGTGAGCTTCAAGAACGCCTTCCACGGCAGGACGATGGGCGCGCTCGCCATGACGCCCAACCCCAAGTACCAGGCGCCCTTTGCGCCGCTCATCGGCGACGTGCGCACGGGCACGTACAACGACGTGGCGGGCATCGAGAGTCTGGTCGACGAGACGACGGCGGGCGTGATTGTGGAGCCGGTGCAGGGCGAGGGCGGAATCTTCCCGGCGTCGATCGAGTTCCTCACGGCGCTGCGCAAGCGGTGCGACGAGGTGGGCGCCATGCTGATCTACGACGAGATCCAGTGTGGCCTCTTCCGCGCGGGTACGCTGTGGTGCCATAGCGAGTACCCGACGAGTGCGCACCCGGACATGGTGACCATGGCCAAGCCGCTGGCGAACGGGTTCCCGATCGGCGCGGTGCTCATGCGCGACTCGGTGGCGCAGCTGATTGCGGTGGGCGACCACGGCACGACGTTTGGGGGTGGACCGCTGACGAGCCGGATTGCGCACCACGTGCTGGGTAGGCTGGCGAGCAAGGAGCTGGGCGACTCGATGAAGGAGAGCTCGCATGCGCTGCTCGGTCGGCTGCGCGAGCTCGTGGCCATGTTCCCGGACGTGCTGCTCGATGATGCGGCGGCGGGCAAGCCGAGTCCGCGCGGCAAGGGCCTGATTGTGGGTGTGAGCACCAGGGACCCCGCGCACGCGGGCAAGGTGGTTCAGCTCGCCCGCCAGCGTGGACTGCTCATCCTCACCGCAGGCACCGACACGATTCGTATCCTGCCGAGCCTGACGGTGACGCGCGAACAGGTGGACAAGGCGGTGGACATTATCGAGTCGTGTCTGCTCGTCGTGCGCGACGAGATGCAGCGTTCGACCTCCACCCGCGTCTCTTCGAGCAAGCAGCAACAGATCCGGGCCTTTTCCACCTCGACTCGCACCTCGGCTGCGGCTGCGGGTGAGCAGGCGTCGGCAGCCGAGATCCAGGCGGTGTACAAGCAGTTTATCGAGCTGGGCGAGTCGTGGCCCAAAGACCCTTTGCGACCGGACATTGACTTTGGTGCGTCGATCAGCGCAGCTGCTCAGACGGCGTTGCTTTCGGTTGCGTCGCAGTCGGCGGTGCATCCGGAGCAGGTGCACAGGCCGCGCGGTGCACCGCTTCCGGATCCGCTACCGGGCACGCGCACGCTGACGAAAGACGAGCTGGCGTACGCACAGCAGAGCCTGACGCTGCTGCGTGAGCTGCGCGACAACAAGGTGCAGCTCGAGTATCCGCTGCCCGAGAGCATGCTCAAGCCCAAGAGTCAGCCCGAGTACTACGAGCGTCTGATCCGCAGCATCGAGCGTGCGGTGCAGGGCAAGAGCATCGCACCTTCGTTCGCAGAGCGCGTCAAGAGGTTCTTTGGCCGTGCCTAGTCTGATTGATGAAATTGCAGCTTCTGATTACATGTGTTTGGTGGGGGGGCTACTGCTCGACGGCTTCGATGTGGTCTGGGTAGGTGCAGCCGGCATCGTATCTGACTTGGTCCATGATCTTCATGGTGAGGGTGGATTCGGCCAGTGAGCACGTCGGTTCTTCCAGCTTTCCATCCCTCAATGCACGGGCGCACGCGTCTGCTTCCCAAAACATTCCGTGACCGGGGATGTCGAACTTGCGCGTCTCGTTCTTGCCCGTATACACGCCTTCTGCATCCTTTTCGTGGATCGTAAAGCTTTCCGGCCTGTATGGAGCCCAAGGCACAGTGAGATCCGCCTTGTCGCCCTGAACCAGCACCACGTTTCCAGCGGATCGAACCGTCATGTTCGTAGTCGCCACACCCTGGGCACCGGTCGCGTTGAAGTTGAGGATCATTGTGGTAAACTCGTCGACACCGGTGAGTTTGGACTTGATGACGCTGCTTGTCACCTCGGGAGCGGTCTTGTTGTTTTCCGGGTCGGCGTACAGCAGAATCATCTGCCAGGTGAGTGCATAGATGCCGAGATCGAGTAGGGCGCCACCGCCGAGTTCGGGGTTGAAGAGGCGATGTTTGGGGTCAGGCTTGAATTGCATGCCGAAATCGCTGTACACGCGTTTGACGCTGCCGAGCGCCTTTTCCTCATGCACAAGCCGCTGGATCTCTTTTACGACGGGGAAGAAGCGCGTCCACACGGCTTCCATCAAGAAGCGCTTGTTTTCGCGGGCGACGCGGATGAGGTGTTCGGTCTGAGCCGCGTTGATCGTGAATGGCTTTTCGCAGCACACGTGTTTGCCCGCCCGAAGCGCCAGCAGCGTGTTGGCATAATGGTGCGAGTGCGGTGTGGCAACATAGATAATGTCCACATCCTCGTCGGCTACGAGCTCCTCGTACGAGCCGTACGTCTTGGCCGACTCGTGGGGAGCACCGATCTTCGTGAGGAACTCACTAGCGCGCGAGGCCGAGGTGGACGAAGCAACAGCGACGATCCGATGCTCCACGTCTGACACGGATCGTGTCGAGGGATCGGTGAGCAGGTCCTTGGCAAAGGTCTCTGCAATCCATCCCGTGGCGAGGATGCCCCACTTGCAGATGTACGGAGAAGACATGGTAACGATGACCGCAGCTGGAAGAGGCGGTGAAGATGGTGGAATGAAACGGAGAGAGAGAGAGAAGGGTGGGGGCAAGGCTGGTTGGAGTGTGGGCGGTCAGTGCCACATGACGTCGTCCTCCGATCTCGCCGAAAAGACGCCGGGCTTCTGGCCGAACTCACCTAGCTTTATTGTTTGTACACATGGCCTAACATTATGCACTAATTTCCGGCTCATTTTTGATCGGAAGCCTCCCGTTGGCGCGTGGACTCGGGAGCGGAATCGCGCCTCGAAGGGCCTCCGGCTGTTGAAAGTGACCGGCTCGGGCTTCCCCACATGTAGCCGCGTGTGGGAATCGCTCTTTGCCTCTGCACGTCCAACTGCACACCACTCGCGATCGCCAAAGATGTCCGACACCAACGCACAAAAGGCCGCTGCCACCACAGCACCACCACCAGCTTCCTCCAATGTAGACGACGTCGACGATCTCGACGACCTCGATGGTGAGTGCGTGCCCGGACTGCATGCCAAAGTGGACATCCACTGACCGTGTTGCGTTGATAGACGTGCTGGACGAGTTCAATGCGCCTTCTGGATCGACACACGCTGCCGCTGCTTCTGCTTCTGCTACTGCTGAGACGCCGAAAGCCCAGCCCAAGCCGCAGGTGGAGGATGCAGCGGAGAGCAAGGTGTCGGGAGGAGAGGCGGAGGATGTGGTGTCGCAGGATCTCGCCAAGGAGCTCGCCGAGGGCATGCAGGCGCTGATGAAGGAGCTGGGCGGCCAGGCGAATGCCAATGGCGAAGGACTCATGGGTGGCGGCGAGGGTGCAGCGGCTGGCGATGCGGGTGCAGCGGCGGAGTTCAACGAGGAGGAGCTCATGCGTCAGTTTGAAGCCATGATGGCTGGTTTCGGCGGTGGCGGCCCAGCGACTGCTTCCACCTCGGCTGCCTCTGCTTCGTCGGCGTCAGCCCCTGCTGCGGCAGGCTCTGCATCCAAGCCGGCGAACTTCAACGATGCGATTGCGGCGACGATGGCCAAGCTGAAGGAGAGCGATGCGTCGGCCACCTCGTCGTCTGCTGCGGCGGACAACCCTTTTGCGGGCCTGTCGGGTGCGGAAGGCGAAGAGATGGCCAAGCTCCTGGCTGCCCTCGGCGGCTCGGGCGACCTGTCTGGGCTCGAGGGGGCGATGGACAATCCGGAGCTGACCAAGATGCTCGAGGGCATGATGGACGAGCTCATGTCGCGCGAGATCCTCTACGAGCCGCTCAAGGAGCTGCGCGACAAGTACCCCGCTTACCTCGCCGGCGCCGAATCGCGCGACATCTCAGCCGACGATCGAAAGCGCTACGAGCAGCAGTCGGCCTACATCACGCAGATCGTCGCCGTCTTTGAAGATCCGCAGTACGATGCCAAGGATGCGCAGATGGCAGGGAGGGTGCAGGAGCTGATGAACCAGATGCAGGACTGCGGCTCGCCGCCCAAGGAGATCGTGGGCGACATGCCGGCGGAGCTCGAGAGCCTGCCTGGCTTCGGTGGTGCAGGTGGCAACGAGGAGTGCACCATCATGTAACAGTCACCGACGTATTGCATGGTCAATTGGATCCCTCGGCACCGTCCATGCACAAAAAGCGTGGGGGTGGAGCTCTGCTGGTGTGAAAGCGCGGGCAGGCTGGAATAGGCAAGTGGGAGTCCAAAGCCAGCGCACGTGACGCGCCCACACGCGAATCCAAGCCCGTGATTGCAAGACGCGCAACAACCCCAGCTCACAGCACCGACAACTCATTTGAAGTCGGCATGGACTGTCATGCAGCTAAGCCACCTGCGCAACGAACCACGAGAGACGACGTGGATGGCAATGGCGTAGATGGCAATGGCGATGGCGATGGTGAGGGCAGTGCTCGAGGGGCCATGGTGAAGAGGGGGGGTTGGCGCGCTGAATTAAATAGCATTAGAGAGCCCCTGAGCCGCGTGTGGCCAATACAAACGGCTCGCCCGCCAAATACAGGGCAGGAGAACAACACCAATTCAACGCGCCCCTTGCGCCCCTTTTACTTTTTCGACTTTGGGGCGCGCCGAGAGGGCGGCGCTCTTCTGCATAGCCTCGGCGCAATCCTGCAGTGCTGCACTGCACGGCACTGCTCTCTTTGCCGTGCAGAGTTGGGCGACTCGTCCTCCTCCTCCACCCTGCTTGCTGCCTCGCAACCCAAAGCTGAGTCGAGCGCCATCCATCCATACGCCCACCACCATCACCTCGGTCAAGCGTCAAGACGCACCCACCATCCTTCAACCTCGACGACATACACAATCGCTGCGCCATCACCATCTCACGACGCACAACTTCTACCGCCACACTGACTCCAGTATATGCACGCCCAATAACCACACACAACCATGATGGATCAGCACTCCAAGCCGGCGCTCCCGGCTGCTAGCCCCAACGCCCGCAACAGCCCCTTTGCCTACCAGTCCAAATACCTCGAGCGTTCCGCGTCCCGCAGCAGCACCTTTTCGCTCGCCTCGCCCATCGACAACACACAGCGCACACCAGCCGCAACGCCGCTCCAACACTCTGGCTCCGTCCGTCGCTTCCCCGCCCCTCACCGTCACACCGCATCGCTCGACCCACAGCGCGCAGCAGAACTACGCGCAGCATCCTCCGCACACTTTGGCTCCAACGGCAGCATCTCCAGCTCCGGCTCCAATCCTTCCTCCCTCGCAGCCGCCACCACTTCGCCAGCATCCGCCGCCACCTTCAGCAAGGCCACCTTCCCAGCCGCATCGCGCGCCGCCAACGGTCGTCCCGTCTCCATGCCTCCCGCACCGCGCGACAACCTCTTCAACTCGGCCACCGTCGGTCGCGCACCCCGCCCTTACTCGCCCACAAAGGATCCCTACGATCGCGCCGTCTCCCCATCAAAGGAGCGCAGCCGCGACTCGCCCCTCTCTTCGCCCAGGAAGGACGACGCCTCCTGGATCAGCTCGCCCTCCACGCCCACTCAAGGCAGCTTTTGGAGCCAGGGCGCGCTCGGCGCCAACGGCAGCGCCGCTCCCGCCGCCCACGCCCCCTCTCAGCTCCAC